TAGTCGAAGGAGGAGGAGGAGGAGGAGGAGGAGGAGGAGGAGGAGGAGGAGGAGGACTGGGAAGAGGTGGAGGAGGAGGAGGAGGAGGCGGAGAGGGACAACTTTGCCCCGCTGGGCTGGCAGTTTTGCACGTCTCTTCGTCTGCCGACGAGGCTCCGTGCGGGTGGTCGGGGCCACGTGCCTGTGCCAGTGCTGCTTTGGGCCATGGCACGGAGCGGACCCCGCTCCCTTGGGAGGTGTGCTCTGGCAAGGGCCTCCCGGCGCTGAAGGACTGCCCCCCTGCGAAGACGAGTAACAGGTACCGATACCGTTCGTCTTTCCTCGTTCTTACCCTTTTGGACTTCTGGGGGGATCTCGTCGCCACGGCTTGATTCGCCTCGGAAAGTTTGTCAGAGCGCTTCCCGCAAGAGGTCCGGGAGTAGCGCTACCTATCGGCATTTTCTGGTGGTCCCCACACTGGGTCAAAACCGAGGGGTCGCCAGAGTATCTAGACTTGGAAAGGATACCCTGGAGGGCCCTCGTCTCCACGGCCGGATTCTCCTTGAGATTCAGGTCAGGATGCACCCCAGGGGATGGCCGTGGAGCAGCCGTGCTGGAACCTTTTTTTCTCCCTCAAGTGTAACTATATTCGCTGCCGCGGGGTCGTGTCCCGGGGCTTCAGGAATTGGTTGATACCCACGTTCACCATTTCTCCAGATGGAAAGGGCACGACGCCGAAGCGGGGGGTATGGACATACGTATCCCTTCAGCCTCCGCCAATTCCGCCACCGTGTGGGTGGCAGCTCTTCGAGAAGGCAAGGGCTTGCTGGGGGTCTCTTGGGGCAGAAGGCTCGAATTCTCGGTTTGTGTTGCCCCTCTTGGGGCCGTCTTGGGCTCCGCTTGGCCAGTCTTGAGCGCCTCTTGCGCCGTCTTGGAGCCCTCTTGGGCCGTCTGGGAGTTCTCCTGGGGGCCTCTTGAACGGTCTCGAGGGAGTCTCGTGGGCCTCTTGGGCCATTTTGGAGCATCAGAAGCTCGAAAAGGCGAAAACCCCATTGCGAGAACCTCCGAAATCATCTATGGCAAATCAATGTTTTTTGCCTCTGGAGACCCTTTTGGGGCCTCTTGGGAGCCTCTTTTGGCCTTCTTGGGGCCTTCTGAGGCCTCTTGGGGCGGAAGGCTCGAATTGTTGGTTCGTGTTCACCCTCTGGGGTCCTTCTTGGGCCGTCTTGCGGCCCTCTTGGGCATTCTTGGGTGCTTCTGGGGCTGTTTTGGAGCGCTCTCGGGCCAACTTGGGGCCCTCTTCGGGGCCTCTTGGGCCATCTTGGGGCAGTCCTGGTGGCCTCTTGGGTCGTCTTGGGACGTCGGAAGCTCGAAAAGGCGAGGACCCGAAACACATTGAAACACCACAGGATCATCAGTGAATTTTACCTCTCGGGGCCCTCTTGGGAAGGCTCTTGGGGCTCCGTCGGGACGCCTCGACGGCCTCCTGGGCCGTCTTGAAGCCATCTTGGGCCGTCTTAATGTCAAAGTGGTCCGTCTTGGAGCGATATTGGGCCGTCTTGGGGGCATCTGTGCTTCAGGAGCGCGAGTCTGTTGCATTTCCCAACCATCCTGTGGTGTCGGGTCCTCGTTTTGAAGAGACAGCGCCCCGCGTCCTTCCTCCCGCTGCCCATCCTCTCCTCTCCTCCTCCCTCTCCTCCCTCCTCCCATCGTCATCCTCATCCTCATCATCATCACCATCACCCCTTACACACTTCGTAGCCCCAATGGGGGCTCCACCGAAGGCCACGGTGGCTGCGTTCGTATGCGCCCACCGTACCCATTTCGGCACACCCCTCACAAGTTTCGTGGCCCCAAAGGGAGCTCCACCGAAGGCCACAGTAGCTGCGCCCACATGCGCCCACTGCACCCATTTCGGCACACCCCTCACACGTTTCGTGGCCCCAAAGGGAGCTCCACCGAATGCCACAGTGGCTGCGTTCACATGCGTCCACCGCACCCATTTCGACACACCCCTTACACGTTTCGTGGCCCCAAAGGGGGCTCCACCGAAGTCCCCAGTGGCTGCGTTCGCATGCGCCCACCGCACCCATTTCGGCGCACCCCTCACACGTTTCGTGGCCCCATAGGGGGCTCCACCGAAGGCCCCAATTGCTGCGTTCGCATGCGCCTACCGCGCCCATTGCAGCACACCCCTCACACGTTTCGTGGCCCCATAGGGAGCCCCACCGAAGGCCACAGGCCCTGTGGCTGCGTTCGCATGCGCACACCGCGCCCATGTCGGCACACCCCTTACACGTTTCGTGGCCCCATAGGGAGCTCCACCGAAGGCCCCCGTAGCTGCGTTCACATGCGCCTACCGCACACATTTCGGCAACCCCCTCACACATTTCGTGGCCCACTAGGGAGCTCCACCGAATGCCCCAGTGGCTGCGTTCACATGCGCCCACCGCACCCATTTCGGCACGCCCCTCACACGTTTCGTGGCCCCACAGGGGGCTCCACCGAAGGCGCCAATTCTTGCGTTCGCGTGCGTCCACCGCACCCATTTCGCCACACCTCTCACGCGTTTCGTGGCCCCAAAGGGGGCTCCACCGAAGGCCCCAGTGGCTGCGTTCGTATGCGCCCACCGCACCCATTTCGGCACACCTCTCGCACGTTTCGTGGCCCCATAGGGAGCCCCACCGAAGGTCCCAGTGGCCGCGCTCGCATGCGCCCACCGCACACATATCGGCACACCCCTCACACGTTTCGTGGCCCCACACGGAGCTCCACCGAAGGACCCAGTGGCTGCGTTCCAAGGCGCCCACAGCACCAATGTCGGCACACCTCTTGCACGTTTCGTGGCCCCACAGGGAGCTCCACCGAAGGCACCAGTGGCTGCGTTCGTATGCGCCCGCCGCACACATGCCGGCACACCCCTCAAACTTTTCGTGGCCCCATGGGCAGTTCCTTCTCGTTCGTTCAACCTGCCTTGTGGTGCTCGCAACTGCATATGGTTGGGTCCTTCGTCAGGCTAATTTGTGACGGCTTGTGGCCTCGGGAAGAGTGAGTGGTGCACGCAGCTGGGTGTAGGGAGGAAGGGGGGTTGGCCCTTAGAAAATGACAGAAACCCGACCAAGCAGCCCTTGACATTTTTCCACGCCCCAACGTGCACAAGGCACGGTGGCGAATTCTGGCGGTGGATGGATGGGGGAGGGCGGGTCAAAACCGAGGGATCGTCGTCTTCTCTTCTTGCCCGTGCGGTCGAACCAGTACGGAAGGAAGTGGGGACGACGACCGACAGCAGATCTTGTCCATTCTGGGCAGGATTTGTTGTCGGCGTCGCCGCGGACGTTGTCCACCTGAGACAAAATTTCGCCTGCCCAATGGCGACCGCTGTCCGTTTTGGACAACTTTTGTTGTTGTGTGCCGTACCCTTTATGTCCGTACCCATTCTGTGCGTTCCAATGTGTTGCGCGCAGCGGCATGGAGCGTCCAACAGGAGATGCAAGCTTGTTTCTTGTGGACGTAACCAAGAGTACTCAATGGGCATGTTTTTTTGCCAACGGGGAAGCAGATGCTTGTTCGCCAAGCTCAGACATTGCCCTGTCCTGTGAGGTGTACGAGGGCGGTGTCCATAGCACTTGGCAAGCTGTCGTTAGTACCCATTTTCGCAAACTATGGTCTGCAGGCGACGCTCCCATGGTCAGAACGGCAAAAGCAGTGGCCACCACATGTGTCCACTTGACAACAGTGCCCAATTTCCCAAGGGAGGAGCAATCATTCTCCAGCGTGAGTCGGGTCCCCCACTCCACCACCCGAAGTCGGTGACTGCCAATGTGCTCGCTCTTCAGAGAGACCCTTGCCCGTCCTGGGCCCTTCACAGGGGACGGCAGGCGCTGGCTGAGAGTTCACACGGTCGGACCGATGTATAGGATCGAGGTCAGGTCGCATGAAGGTGAGTTGGTCTCAGGCTTGCAATTCATTTTGCACGAGCATGCTTGTCATTGTTACCGGGACATGCTATGCTGTTCGCACTCGCACGGGAGGCACATGCGCATGGTCAGGATTGCTCTCCCCATGCGATGAGAGTGGGTTTCTGTGGGAAACGCGCGACTTCACAGTTTGAGACATTATGCTCACACCGGCCCAACCATGTTCCAGGTTGGCCTCAGCGTTTTGTTTTGATCATGTGGCGTCGGTGAAACACGGTGCTTAGTTGCGATCGAAGAATCACATGGTCAATGAGTTGCCAGACGATATGAGATGCGAGACGAGCTATCTGAGCGGATGGTAAGTGATGGGACGTCTATGCAAGGATGAAAAGGAATGGCGTGTTGAAGCAATCGAGGGAGCGGAGTACGGAAGCGTAGGCCAGTGAGCTTGTCTCGTCAGACACGGAAGCGAGTCTGTTTCGGCAGCGACGCCTGGTGTGCGTCTGGTGTGGAGCCGGTGGGCATCAGCGTGGCCAGGGCTGTTGCACAGAGAACTTGGCTTCTCGCGTGACGTGTGGATTTTGCCGTGCCGGTCAGGCGCGCTCCTCCTCCTCCTCCTCCTCCTCCTCGTCCTCCTCCTCCTCCTCCTCGTCCTCCTCCTCCTCCTCCTCCTCCTCCTCCTCGTCCTCCTCCTCCGCGTTTGCCTCGAGAGGGGGCGCGCGAGATTCGAGAGAGGCGAGACTGCCGCCCCAGGAGCGCATCAGCGCGAACATGATGTGGTACACCCTCTCCTTCGAGAGGCTGCCCCCTTCACGCTGCATCTGCCTGCTCACCGTCCCACTCTGCTTCGATTCGATGACTGGTCAGCCATCCTCGTCCTCCACCCTCCCTCCTCCCTTCACGTCGCCCCTCCTCCACTTCCCCTCCCTTCCAGCCCAGAACGCCGGCGAGGAGTGGGACATGTCGAGCATTCGGCCACTCTTTGGGCAGCACTGCTGCGCCCACGCGATGCCTGCCCACGACAGGACAGAGTAATAAGATGTGCACGTGATGTCATGCTGACGAGAAAAAATCCCTTTTTCGAGTCTGACCTCACCTGCCTACAGCAGGTTCGCGTCGTGTCGACCAGCGGCGACCCCGCCGCCGGCCCCCACCGTTGAACGCCGCTGGCGACCCAGGATCCGCCGATGTGGAACGAACGATCGTTCCGGAAACCGTCGAGTTCACGGTTGAACGATTCCCTCGGTGGCAGTGGCGAAACGTCTTGGTTTGCCTACAGGCCCACCAAAGAATGCTCTAAGAACCTTTTGTGGTCTGCACGACGTGTTCTCAGAACAGTTCTGCCTGAGACTGCCTTGTTTCGACACATCGGGTGTATTCTCTAGGAACGTTGCTGTTGTTCTTAGAACATTTCATGGCGCCAACATCGCAGAGTGGATTTCGTTCCGAAAGCGATAGGGTGGGCCTGGAGTGTCCTGGAGAATTTCGTTCCGGATTTCGAGGTGAATTTCGTGCGGATTTTTTATGGCTAGGAATGAAGACCCCAAAACATCCGCGCGAACTTCACTTCGTTTTTTGCTCGCCGTTTCGGGCAGAGCTCCACGCAGAAATCCGCTGCAGCACGTCTGCAAGGCCGGTATAATGAAACACTCGTGGGCTCTGAGCACATGTCGCGCTAGGCCCGGAGGAATGCCGGGACGGTCGGCCCCCGCGGTGGCAGGCACCACCGCCGAAGTCGCCACGGCACGAACCTGCCGCACGCCGCGACCTCCGGGCGCGCGCCTCCGGCGCTCGCTGGGGCAGCTCCCTCGCCACCCCCTCGAGGGACAGCAGCTGCACAGACGGGTCCCCCGAAGAGAGGAAGCCGACCACACAGACGGGCCCCCCTGAAGGGAGGAAGCCGACCGGCCGCGCGCAGTGCGGCGGTCCGCGATGGGGGCGCAGTGAGACGGGGGCGCGCGCCTCCAGCGCTCGCTGGGGGAACTCACCAGCCGCCTCCTCGAGGGGCTGCAGCTGCGCATGCGGGTTTTCCGAAGGGAGGAAGCCGACTGGCCGTGCGCAGGTCGGCGGTCAGCGAGGGGGGCGAAGTGAGAAGGGGGCGCGCGGCGCGTCTCCAGCGCTCGCTGGGGCTGTTCCGCCCCCAACTCGAGGGGCAGCAGCTGCGCGGACGGGTTTCCCGAAGAGAGGAAACCGACCAGCCATGCATACAGGCGGCCCAGATTAGTAGGTCGACCCTGCCAGCTCAAGGATACCCTTGTGTCCTGTGCCTCGCGACACGTGCCTTCTTACACTCCTATGGCGATGTGGCCCTCGGAAGGGTCTTGTGTCCTCTCGCGTGTCCTGTCCAATCAAGGCCGACTGTAGTTCGGCGGCGAGCGAGGAAGGCGGCCTGGCTTCTCAGAAGCCCTTAGATCTTCTGAGAGGTTTTCTCTGTTCTCGGGGAAGGCTTCCGAAACCATTCAGAAGGCTGGGGGACCTCCGAACCATCCGCGAAGGCCTTCTCCTTATCACTTCCCCCCCTCGCTCGCCGCCAGATCGTGCACGGGCATCAGTTTTCGAAGCTCCGCGCGGATTTGTTGGATCGGTGCTGGGTCGCCCGCGCGCCAGGGAGGGGGGGTCAGTGCCGACCCGAGGAGTTTTCACGAATCGTCGCACGTTTATGTTTATGCAGCTGATTCGTCCGCTAGTGGTGTCTTTTGCCTGTGCCCACTCAGCATCGTACAGCCCCTAACCCCGAGTTGAACTTTGAGTTCGGGGCCTAACCTGGGTCCACGGTTTTTGGGCAGATCCCGAAGCATATGGGTGGTTTCGTCTTGACGCGCCTGCAAGAACATGTCCCCTATCCCCAAGGTGATCGTTTTCTGATTCATCGTTCTGCCGATCGGCGCGGGCCCTCGTACCCTTCCCTCCCCCCCCCTTGAGTAGATCTTGGCTGTTTTGGGCGCCTGCTTCGAGCAGGTGAATTCTCCCCTGTAGGACGCATTGCTGCAAACGGTCGCATCGAGCAGAGGCCCGGAGCCAGAACCCCCTTCCCCTCCCCCCCCCCTTTCGCCCACTGTCGAGAAGCCGAGACAGAAACCGCTCACGAGGTTGTTGGCCCTTGCATGTTCGGCGGCCCCCTCCCGAAGGATGAGAGGTGCTTTTGTGGCCCGTCCTGCAGCACGGCCGTCCCGCGGAGGCCCGCCCCACGACCACCCGTGGTCGGGGCAGCGCAGTTTCGGGGCCGCCCCGCTCCCAGCTCCCCGCGCGTCTCCCTCCCCCGTCGCCCCTCCCCCGTCCCCGCTCCTCCCTCCTCCGTCCTCCCCTGCCGCCCCGTTCCTCCTGCCTTCTCCTCCTCTCTCGCCCTCCTTCTCTCCTCGCTCCTCGTCTGCTTCCTCCTCCTCCTCCTCCTCCTCTTCCTTCTCTTCCGTCTCTTCTTCCTTCTCCTATTCCTCCTCCTCCTCCTCCTCCTGCCTCTCCTCCTCTGCCATCCTCCTCCCTCGTGGAGCGCAGTATGGCAGGAAACAGGTGGAGCAACCCCACAGAGCGGCGAACGAGCTTTCAGCGCGCGATACAACTTATTTTCAAGGGTCACGCCCGTCTTGTTGATTGAGTACGTTCTGGGGCATGCCAGCGGCCAGTTTTGGGACTGCAGATTGGGAGACTGGGGTTGCGGGGCAAATCAAAAAGAACTAGCGTAACCATCACAATTCTTGAACCCACTCCAGAAGCCCACGCATAGGGTAGGGCGTTCGAAAACTCAGGAGATGCCGCCTGTAAGCCTTCATCCTCCTCCTTCCCTCGCCATCCTCCTCCTTCCCTCGTCCCTGGTCAATATCCGAGTACTTTTTTGACTCATTAGTTCAAACTCACCCTGTAGGGGGACATGCCGGACCTAACGCTAACCCCCTTTTTGATAACCTCTGCGACCGATTGCGAACCCTACCCCTGCTGGTCTAGCCGGCGATGTGGGCATGGGGCACCCCCGCTGAGGTTCACTCGGCTGCAGACGTTCTCCGTGAGCTGAGTCGCTTCCCCTCCTTTTGCTATCCCCACCTTCCGAGGCACCCTACGTCATATTCAGGCGGGAAAAAACACACAGACACAATTAATCGCCGATTCCCCAGAAACAATAGGAAACTATGGGAAGTGGGGGGGAAGACGAAAGCCCCCCAAATATAGGAAATTGTGGGGAATCTGTTTATTTGCTGGTGTGTATTTCTTTGTGTGTCCTGGGGCCCCTTCACATATCTTTCGCGCGCCATCGATCCCCAGGAGTCGGGGGCGGCAAAGAGGGGGGTGATGACAAGGGTGGGGTGGGTATCATGGCGGGGGCCATGATGTTTCCCCAGATCTCACGGCGCCTCTTCTTGTTTCACTACGCCCCTGGCCCCCCCCGCTGGGCCGCGCACATGCCGCCGGTCATGATTTGCACCCCCCTCTCTTGGACACCCCCCTCTTGGCCGCCCCCGAAGATGCGCACTGCCCCACCCAGGTAGGACAGCTGCGAGGAAGGGAGGAGGCAGGAGGATGGGGGTAGGAGGAGGAGGAGGAGGAGGAGGAGGAGGAGGAGGAGGAGGAGGAGGAGGAGGAGGGGGAGGAGGAGGAGGAGGGACCTGCCACACACCTCCCGAGCCCTTCTGTCGACGGCCCCAGGGCCGGAGGCGTGGGCCTTCGGAGGCCTCGGGCGGCCAACAGAAGAACCTCCCGCCGAGGCTTGTGCCACGACAGGGAGGAGGAGGAGGAGGAGGAGGAGGAGGAGGAGGAGGAGGAGGAGGGGGAGGAGGAGGAGGAGGAGGAGGGAGGAGGAGGAGGGAGGAGGAGGAGGAGGAGGAGGGGGGGGGGGGGGGGGGGGCGCTCTCGGGCGGCCGCTGGCCCGCACGGCCGCCGGAGAGCGGAGCTATTCTTTGCGGCAGCGGCGAGGCGGCGATTTCCGCTCCAGCGAGAGGCCATATAGACGGGGGCACCAGCTAGCGACTTGGCCGGCGGGCAAAGAGGAGGGGGGGACGGCCGAGAGGAACAAGGGAGGCTCAGACGTCGAAGAGTTCGTATTCGAAGAGTTCGTATATATATATATATATATAGAAAGAGAGAGAGAGAGAGAGAGAGAGAGAGAGAGAGAAAGAGAGAGAGAGAGAGCGGAGTTACAGGCTTCGGCAGACATTAGCGAACGCGCATGCCTCATTCATCCGTCAATGCCCCCCCGGCCCCCTGATGATCAATGTTGGCGGTGGGTTGGATGAGTTGCTCTTCTACCGCAGTCTTCCTCACGCGCTCACGCGTGCCAACTTTGAGTTTTGTGGGGCAGGGGAGAGCCCACAAATTGTTTCCCTCTGCCGTATGACCCGATCGTCCCGAATCGCGGGTGCCCGGATCGTCCCGAACGGCAAGATCAGGGCACCCCCGGAAAGCCTTCGGCGAGGCGCAGTCGGGAGCCTTGAGACGGGGGTCAATGCAAACGGGGGTCAGCCAGGGCACCAGATCCTGCAGGATCCTGCGGAGACCCCCCTCTGGCTGACCCGGGTTAGCGAGCCGCTCGTGGCCGCGAGGCGCCCGCACATATTGGCTGACCGGGTTTGCGAAGACCTGCGTTGCAGTTTTTTTTTCCCTGCATTGCAGTTTTTGGTTTCCTGCTGACCCGGGTCTGGATTGACCCGGGTCGGAAGATCCCCGAGGGGGACGGCCGAGAGGAAGAACGGACGCTCAGACGTCGAAGAGTTCGAATAGAGAGAGAGAGAGAGAGAGCGGAATTACAGGCCTCGGAAGACATCAGCGAACGCGCATGCCACATTCATCTGTCAATGCCCCCCCGGCCCCCTGATGATCAATGTTGGCGGTGGGTTGGATGAGTTGCACTTCGACCGCCCACGCGTGCCAACTTTGAGTTTTGTGCGGCGGGGGAGAGTCCACAAATTGTTTCCCTCTGCCGTATGACCCGATCGTCCCGAATCGCGGGTGCCCGGATCGTCCCGAACGGGAAGATCAGGGCACCCCCGGAAAGCCTTCGGCGAGGCGCAGTCGCTGGAGGGCACTCCGAGGCCGGAAAATCTCGGAGAACCTGCGCTCGGTGCTCTAGAGACGGGTGTTGATGCAGTTGGGGGTCAGCCACGCCGCCAGATCTTGCAGGATTTTGCAGGGCCAGGGCCGCACTGACCTGGGTTTGGGTGCAGGATCTTGCAGGATCCTGCAGGATTCTTCGCACTGACCTGGGTTTGGTTGCAGGATCCTGCAGCATCTCGCAGGATTCTGCAATGCCTGAGTGACCTGGGTCTGGAGCCTCGAGCCTCGACCCTCGAGCCTCGAGCCTCGAGCCTCGAACCTCGAACGCTGAACCTCGAGCCCCGAGCCCCGAGAGCCTCGAGCCCCTCGAGCCCCGAGGGCCTCGAGCGCCTCGAGGGCCTCGAGGGCGCCTCGAGCGCCCCGAGCGCCCCCCGAGGCACGGCACGGCGGCCCCCCCCACCGCGACGGGCGCCCCCGCCCCCCGAGGCTGCCGCGGAGCCTCCCGCCGCCCGCGCCCCCGGCGGCGCCTCCCGCGCCGGAGGCGCCCGCGGCCGCCGCGGGCGCGGGCGGCGCGCCGCGGGCCGCGCGGGGGGCGCCGCCGCAGCAGTGGCGCCGCCGGAGGCCTGCGCCCCGCGGCGGGGCCTTCCGCTCTGCAGCGGCGGCGTCGTCGTCGTCGTCGTCGTTGTCGTCGTCGTCGTCGTCGTCGTCGTCGTCTTCGGTGGCGGCGGCGGCATCGGCGGCCGCTGCGTCGTCGTCGTCGTCGTCGTCGTCGTCGTCGTCGTCGTCGTCGTCGTCGGTGGCGGCGGCGGCGGCGGCGGCCGCTGCGGGCCCGCGGCGGGGCAGTGCTTGTTTGGCGTCGCTCGGGCGTCGTGCCTCTGTTCGTCGGCGGAGGCCATCGAGGAGCATCTTTCAGAGAGAGGACAATCGGATTGACCCCAAAGGGGGTCCAGCGACAAGGGGGTGATGAGTAGGTTTGGTGCAATCGTTTTGTGGTGTTGCAATACATTTAGGGCGTGCAACGCATTTCGGGGCGCAAACGTATTGCTGGACTTTCGCGTGCAATGCATGACTGGCAATGCAATGCAATCCAATTCTCCGTCGCAGTACATTTGCAGTACAATTGCCCCAAATCTATTGCATCACCCCCTTTCAGCTGGACCCCCTTTTGGGTCACCCAAAATACCTCTACCCTTCCCTGGTTTTCCCCTATTTTGGCCTGGGAGGCCCTTGTCGCCACCGCTGGATTCACCTCGAAATCCTGGTCAGAACGTACCCCGGGAGAGGTCAGGGGTATGGCATAAACATGAACTCTAGGCGCTCCGCGCGGATTTCTTGGATTCGCGCTGGGGCACCCCCCGGCGGCGCTTCCGGCGCCGCCCCTGGCGCGCTCCGCGCGCCAGGGAGGGGGGTCCAGCGCAGATCCAAGCAATCCGTGAGGAGCGCCAACAGTTCATGTTTATGCAGTTTTTTCTTATATTCTTCGGCGAGGGCTATCGAGGTGCATCTTGGCTCATTGTCGGAGAAAAGTAGAAACGTACGAGGCCGAAAGAGGCAGTTGGAATGGACGTCCGAGCGATGGCGACGTTCTCGGGGCAGCGTCAGTCAAGCAGAGGCGATGCGTCTTGGCTTGCCCAGAGGCCAACCAGAGAGACTGTTCTGATGATCATCTTTTGTGGCTCGCACGAACTGTTCCTAGAACGTTTCTGGCTGAGACCGTCTCGTTTTCATATATCGGCCTTAGGTTCCAATGACATTTTTTCTCTGTTAAGAAAGTCGTCTTCTGTTCTAAGAACTTTTCGTGGTAGGCCTACAGGAATGCTAGGACGGTCGATCACCGCCCACGTCAGGGGGGATCTGGTCTTAGGGTTTCGACGTTCGATCTTCGAGGTTTTCGGGCATTGTCGTCGGTTGCCAGCGATTTGCTGGTGTCGGGGCGCCTCCCAGCGTCCGGATCGTCGAACGGCCGCCGAAGAGCCGAGAAGTGACCCGAATTGTAAGGGGCAACGTCAGGAGGGAGGGCGTCGTCGATCCGGGAACGACCCGTGTGCACCGTGCCGCGTCGGCGTCTCCCGAGGCGTCGTGGATCCTGGGCTCACGAGTGGTACAGTGGGGGCCCATGACAGGACACACCCTGCCTGCCTCCAGGGTGCCCTGGGTTTCTTGTGGGTTTCGATGGCGTTGCGACGGAAAGCGTGACTTCCCCCCCCACACACAGAGGCAGTGGACGTCCTGGGATCCCAGGCTTGGGTATCCTGCGGAAGGTTTCCTGTGGCTGACCTCCACCGTGCGGTGCACAGCTTTTTCGGCCCCGCGGGCCGAGCAACTCGTCTCGCACCGCGCCGCGCGAGAGCAGGGCAGGACGGGAGTCCAAGCAAGGCTCGGTGCACGGGTGCCGTTACTCGCACGCCTAGGCCTCCCAAGTGGGGTCGGAGTAGGGTTCAGTCGGGCCTGTCCCCCTACAGGGGGATTTTCGAGGAAAAATGAAAAATACCCCAACAATAGCCAAAACATAGTACGAAAATAGCCTGGGACTATTTTTGGTGTATTTTTTGACCTTTTTGATTTTTTTTGGTTTGTCGAAAATTCCCCTGTAGGGGGACACGCCCGACATACGAGTAGGGGGGATGCATCGACCACCAATCGCCCATTGATCGCCGATAGAGGCCCGATTGCCCAGCCCGCCCAGGACCGTGCGGTTTCTTTCGGGGGCCGATCGCCGATCTACCGGCGTAGTATCGCCGAAGCCATGCCGACGTTCCCTCCCTCATCGTTGCCCCTCAATTCCCGTGGCAACTTCAGGGGGGATCGCCGATGCATCGGCGATGCAGCTCGATGTGGAGCCTGATTTTGTCCACGCCGACGGAGCCTGCATCGCTGACGTCGCCGATGTATCGCCGATGCATCGGTGATGCAATGGCGATGCGGCGCGATTCTCCGACCCCATCTACCTCGGACCCCATCGGGGAGGCCTCTAATGTCAGGGGGGGGCCCAAGAGTTTCGTTGCGAAGCTGGCGCTGGCACTCTCCCTTACGAGTTAGGGGCAACGTCAGGGGGGGATGGGCTCAGGGAGGGATGCATCGTGATCGTCGGGGGGAGTCTTCGAGATTCGAGGTTCCAGATCTTCTGACATTTTCGCCAGTTCCCAGCGGTTTGGTTTGCCCGCGTCGGGACGCCTTCAGCGGCTGCGCCTCGCCAAGAGCGGTCCAGGGGTGCACGGATCGTCCTGAACGGCAGCCGGAGAGCCGAGGCATAACCCGAAAACCAAGGGGCAACGCCAGGTCGGGGGGATGGGCTCCAGGGAGGGGGGATGGGATCAGGGGGGATGGGCTCAGGGGATGGGCACGCGATTCTTTTTTTGCACTCTTATGATTGCTATTATTTTTCTTCTTTTTCTGATTCTTATTCTTCTTGTAGTCAGTGAGGATAGCCTGCTGGGGGGAGGCGTCGACCCGCAAGCGCCCACTCGTCGCCGAGAGGGGCCCGACGGCCCACCCCGCCCAGGGCCGTGCGGAGTCGCCAATCGGGGGCCTGTCGCCGACCCGTCGGCGAGGCGTCGCCGGTGCCGGGCCGAGGTTCCCCCCCCTGGGCCGTGGGAGTTCCCTCTCCTCCTCCTCCTCCTCCTCCTCCTCCTCCCCTCCTCCCCTCCTCCTCCTCCTCCCTCTTCCTCCTCCTCCTCCTCCTCCTCCTCCTCCTCCTCCTCCCTCCTCCCTCCTCCTCCCTCCTCCCTCCTCCTCCTCCTCCGGGGCCCATCGTCGATCCATCGGCGAGGCACGGCAGGCTCGCGGCGTGCCGACCGGCGGCGACCCCAACGCGGGCGCGTTTAAGTCGGGGGTGGACAGAACCCCCAACAGTGACACGTCGATTCGTGAATTCTCCGTTTTCGGTTCTCGAGAGGGCGCCCTGGCCGCTGTTTTCCAGGCTTGCGCCCGCCAGGTCTGGGCCTCGGGTCGTTTTCGCTAAACCACGTTTTACGAAAGGGGGGGCTGTCCATCCCCGATCCATCCTATCGTTCCGCCTCATGGCCCAGGCCCCTCAAGTTTTGGTCCGAGGCAGATGTGGTCGCAGGATCGCGCCGCATCGCCGATGCATCGGCGATGCTGTCGATGTGGAGCTCGATGTTCTCCGCGCGGACGTGTCCGATGCATCGCCGACGCATCGGCGATGTGGTGCGATTCTTTGATCTTATGTTTTCGGATCTCATTCGGGAGGCCTCCAGCTTGGGCGCCCTGGGGGCCAGGGTCAGTTGGCCACGCTGTGGGCCAGGGGCCGAAGAAGAACTGACGAGATGACGGCATGAGGAGGAGGAGGATGAAGGTGATGATGATGCTGTTGATGATGCTGCTGATGACGACGACGACGACGAGGACGACGACGACGACGACGACGATACACTTTTGGAGATCTGCGCGGATTTGCTGGGTTGGCGCCAGGCCCCTTTCACCGGGGGCGCCTTCGGTGCCGCTCCTTTGGCGCGCATTTTGTGCGCCAGCGGGGGGGGGGGTCAGCACCAACCCAAGACATCCGCGCGGACCTCGGACAGTGTGATCGTTTTCTTGATATTCCTTGCTTTGCCGATCGTCGCGGGCCCTCGTCCCCCCCCTTCCCCCCCCCCCACGGAGTAGATCCTGGCTATTTTTGGCTCATGTTTGAAGCTGGTGGGGTCTCCCCCACAGGACGCACTACTGCAAACCGTCTCCTTAAGCAGAGGGCTGGAGCCAGATCCCCCCCCCTTTCCCCCCCCCCTCGGCCCAAGGTCGAAACGCCAAATAAGAAAACGTTCACAATTGATGTTGATGCAGTTTTTTGCCCTGGCGAGCGAGCAGTGGAACGCACCCCTCGATGCCAAGAAGGTCGCCACCGTGCGCCACGTGGCTGGTTGATTTTTTTTTTGGTTTGCCTCTTCGCCCCCGCCCCTCGGCTCTGCGGGTGGCAAGCGCGCCGCGCTTCCGGGAGGAGGGGGATGGGGATCCATAGAGCCAGCCGTGCAGGGATCTTCGGATGAGATCGTGTGGGCGGCGGGGGGTCGCCGTCGTCCTCTGTCCTCCCTGCCTCCCCGTCCCTCGTCTCCTCCCCCTTCCGATCTGCGCAGGGAGTGGCGGACGAGGAGCGCGGGGGAAGGGGTGGGAGGAGGAAGAGAATGATGAGGATGAGGAGGAGGAGGAGGATGAGGAGGAAGAGGAGGTATCAGGGGGATGATGATGATGATGATGATGATGATGATGATGATGATGATGATGATGATGATGATGATGATGATGATGTTGATGATGATGATGATGATGATGATGATGATGATGATGATGATGATGATGATGGTGATGGTGATGGTGATGGTGATGGTGATGGTGATGATGATGATGATGATGCTGATGCTGATGCTGATGCTGATGCTGATGCTGATGCTGCTGCTGCTGCTGATGATGATGATGATGATGATGATGGCGAGGACGAGGAGGAGGAGGAGGATGAGGACGGGGGATGACGATAATTCTGCTGATGATGCTGCTGCTGATGCTGCTGCTGATGCTGCTGATGCTGGTGATGATGATGGCGGTGGTGGTGATGGTGATTATAATAATTATGATGATGCTGATGCTGTTCCTGATGTTGATGACGATGATGATGATGCTGATGATGCTGATGATGC